GCGGCCCATTACGAACTAATAGATGGTCTATTATTTTATACAAAAACTACGAATTCCAACAACGAATTTCGACCTGTTATCCCAGCTAGTCTTAGATTAAATATCCTGCAGGAGCTCCATGACAGCCCTTTAGCTTCTCATGCTGGTATTCGAAAAACTATCCAACGCGTACGCGAGGCAGTCTACTTTCCTGAACTGCAAAAGTTAACAAGGGCGTATGTCCAGTCCTGCCCAACATGTCAAGCAGTTAATTATATTAATTTCCGCCCGGCCGGGTTTCTAAATAGTATTAAATCCGAATTTCCAAATGAAATAATTGGCATCGATTTATTGGGCCCTTTCCCAAAAAGTCAGTTAAATAAAAGTCGCTATCTCCTTGTTATGGTTGATCATTTTAGTAAATGGACCGAAATTGTTCCCTTAAAACGAGCCTCCGCGAAATTAGTTACTGATTCTATTTTAAATAAATATATTTTAAAATACGGGCGCCCCTAAAAGTTATATCGGATAATGGTCCTCAATTTGTAAGTAATATATTTGAAGACATGTGCCAAAAACTGGGCATACGTCATTTAAAAATGGTCCCGTATCGGCCGCAATCAAATATAGCGGAACGGGTCAATAGAAATATAGTGAAAATTATCCGTAGTTATGTTAAAAATTTTCATAAAAGCTGGGATAACTATGTCAATGAATTTGCTTTCGCCCTTAGGACCGCAAAACATGATACAACGGGCAAAACTCCTGCTGAGTTATTTCTAGGCAGAAAGATTATAACGCCGTTAGATAAATTATTTTATGTGCAACAAAGAGCCCCAGAATTTAAAATGGGTGATATAGAAAAACTAATTAAAGAAGCAAAAAAGAATACTGAAGTAGCACAGAGAAAACAAAATTGTATTATGACTTGAAACGACGGGGAGTAACTTATAAAGTAGGGGATGAAGTTTTAAAAATTAAGCATTCACTTTCTTCAGCACCAGAAGATAAAACTGCCAAATTTTTTCCACGATTTGAAGGACCATATGTTATAGAAAAAATAACTCACGCTGTAGTAGTGTTAAAAGCCAGAAATGGTGAAACCTGCTCCGCAAACATTGATCAAATCAAACCCTACTTTATGATCGTAATAAAATGCAAATATTTTCAGATCTTTTGCAGGATCCGGCACGGCAGACACCGCAGGCACAAGCTCCAGAGGTGGAAAACGACAAGTACAAGGGCAAGCCATTAAGAGGCAGGAGCAAGTGAAAAGAAAATTTCCCCCCGCGGAAAAATTGAAGGTACAAGAAAAAGAAGCCGTTCCACCGTCCAGAAAAGAGAGTTCACGAACACCCCCAGAATGAAGAAGGGAGAAGGACGACGTATGTGAAGAGAACCAGGAGAAATGACGGCAACTATAACCCGGCTCTAAAACGGAAGATCTACTCATCCGACAGGACTCTCCGCAGCAAATGTCGCCGAACTGCGGAAGGGCCATCAGCGGCGGAGGAAAAGTTACAAGGAAAAATTTGAACGGCCAGCAACGAGGTCCAAGCAGGACACGAAAGAAGTTTCCCGGTTCCGCCAAGACCAGCTGCCATCAAACGGCCAAGACCACAAGCAGAGGAAAAAGGAAGGTATTCAAGGGTGACCGAACTGGTGAAAAAAGGAAGCTTCCAGAGGAAGGCACTGAAGGGCGAGCCCGTACAAGAAGGAGGATAAATCAAACGAACTTCTGCAATACCTTTAAGGACTGGGCCCAGAAAAGGATGTCCGAATATCACAAAGATAAGTAAAATTTTATGTTACTTTGCAAACTTAAGTTAATCTTTCATTCTTACTGCAAGTGGCAGATTTCAAGAAGTTTTACCTCATGCGAGGTCTACCTTTATCGCCAAAAAGGGCGAGAAATGAGTTGTTGACCGATTTTGGTATTATGTTTTTCAATTACTCGCGCGTAAAACTAAAGTTGATGTATAATAGCGTTGTGTAAAGACTTAAATATTGTAAAAAGTTATTGTATAAATTTTATTTAAAACATTCTAGCAAGAAAGAAGTTTTAGTCTGAAAGACTTTTTGAAATGTAGTATTTCAATGTAGAAAGAATTGGCACTTGCTTTGAAAAGAATAGAAGTTAACAATGTACTACTAATGTATGTTTTCAAATGTGTAAAATTAACGGCATGTTGATATGTTCTTATATACAATGTGAACTGTTATTTTAAATGTTAAGAAATACCGTGATATGGTAAAAGTGAATGTTAAAATTTTTTTTATTCGTGTGACTGTAAAAAGACTAAATCATGGTGAATATGTGTTAAAGGTTGAATGATGTAGTTAGGCTCTCTGACGCTACACTTCAGAGTTAGCCACTTTCAGAATAGTACCTCAGGGTTTAGAGTTGAAATTAGGGTGTGTTACGAGGTCTTGTTATGTTGAATTTTAACACGTTAGTGTTTTGATTGTAGGAGGAAGTGTTGGAACACGTAGACAGAAACACATTCGTGTTTGGTGTTCTTTTACAACACATGTCAGAGAGCACGGGGAGAGATAATTAAAATAGTCATGAATGAAATAAGAATGTTAAGAAATATAATTATACATGTTACTTGCCATTTCATTGTGTAACATTTCATTAAACTAGTTTTCCTTCCAGATCTCTGGAAGGAACCAGAATTGAATAAAAGCTCCTGTTTAGATGCAGTACAGATGAAAAAAATTGTGTCCCTGGGAGCTGCTATTGTAAAAAATTTCTTTCTTTTAAATTTCTAGTTTCTAGCGAAAAATGTTTGTAAAAGATTGGCCTCGCGTTAGATTCTAGAGCTAAAAGTTTTCAACAAGGTCGTTTTAGACCTCAGTTTCAAACTAATTAACTCTGGCGGGAAGTATGTAAGGATCTTAAGTTTTACTAACGTTTATTTTATTTTAAATCTTTACTATCACTTCTTATTTTCTACTTCCGGCCAGAATTATAAGCGTTAAGGTTTTTTATGCAAAGTTTGTCTGGCGAACGCCAAGTATTTAAGTTGTGGCTTTTTGCCAAGCGAAGAGAGGAAGCAGTGAGTTCGAAGCAGGCCGCTTACCTTAGAAGTTACGCAGTTGCTATTTGCCTTCCAGGCCAGAGGTTTTAATCCTCTTGATAAATTTAAACGTATTGTAGTGTTCACAGTTCTCTGTACTACATACGCTTCCTGTTATTATAAGGCCAATCTTCCACGTTTATTATTCTAAAGTTAAATTAGAGTTTAGTTTATTTTTATATTTTTACGTTAGACCCCAAGTAGAGGGTCGGTGTATTCCGAAGTACGGAAGTTTATTGTAAATAGAGAAAAAATAAAGGGTTTTGTATACCCTTCTTGTGTATCCTGTCTACTTCCCACAATTAGTGAACATAGCTTTAGTAAGCTCTCTGTTCCGAGTCAGGTCCTTGCATGTTCCCGAAGAAGGTAAGAAGGAACATTGACCCTGATACTCTTATATTTTTAAAAGGCAAGTAGTTACAACTCATGTAATTTTCTTAGAAGAAAATATATATTCGTTTTTAAAAGTGAGTCTTAAAATAGCCCTTCATCACACAGACATGTAGAAGTAAATTGAATTATAATTTTTAAGCTACATTTTATAATTTACTACATTCCGTTTTAACTGATAATAAAGTCCATAATATGAACATGCCTTCTGCTTGGAATTTTATGTTAAGCCTGGTGACATTAAAGCGTTTAATTAACTGTTCTCTTTTATTTAATGATAATTCCTTTTTTCCAACGAAAGCTTCACAACGGAAAGGATAATGAAGACATGAAAATTCGTTATATTTGCCACTTGGAAAATAAGTTTCAGATTGTACCTCAGTGTTTTGAGAGGCGAAAATATGTGATTGAATAATTCGTTTCCAATAAAGACATCATTTTTCATTCTAAAGTTGGAAGCGGTGAAAGGTTTTGCTGTTTTATACAACTTTTTCACAAATCAAGATTCCTCTCAAACCCCTCTATTTTCTTATGGACATTCAGAACATTCAAAGAATTACCTTGCTGACAGAGATTTAATTCATTTAGTTTTGAGAAAACACCTAAAACTTATGCCAGTGTACGTACGTAGCCACAGGCCATCAACAAAGGATCTAAATCATCATTTCATTTACAAATAACAAGACTTCCTGTCTTGTTATTTGTAAGATGATTCAAAAGCCTTGTGCTCCATGATTCAAAAGCCTTGTGCTCCATGAAACCCCAAGTAAGCCAGCGAACTTCAGAATGAAGAAAACATTATTTGTGCTCAATCTCCACGTCATCAAAAGCAATGAAAACATCTTGCAGTTGCGGAATGCACATTAAAACAATTCTAATGTTTTATTCAGTTGGATGATGTTTTATTGAGTTCATACATCGATGGGAAAATTAAACAGGTGTACATTTTACAATTTTGTCTCTACTGCCATTTAAATTTCGTTAACGCATCGGTGGAAAAATTCGACAGGTCTACTTTTTACACTTTTGTGTCTAGTGCCATTTCAAGTTCTTTAACGCATAGGTGGAAAAATTACCCATGTCTGCTAGTGACATCTCAATTTGCAGGTATCATATATGCAGTTAATTTGAATTTTGTTTCTTGCTTTTGTAATGAAATCTAGGAGCACCACAAAGGCAGATACCAAGACCCACTTGTGAATCTTGAATAACTCTTCAGCCAATAACGGTTTCAAATTTAGGAATCAAAAATTAAAATTAACGAAAATATTCCACAATAGGTAAAATATTCTTCAATAAATAATTAATGATTCCATTGATAGCATGTTAAAACACTTAACTGCATGTATCTCCGTGCACGGCTGTTATATTTCAGACTGAATAAATCGAAATGGTTAGAATATTTATTTCATTTTTTGTGAGATTAACTTCCTAATCGATTTTGGAATTCAAAATTTTTACAATCTATCTTGATGCTGCTATTGCAATCTTGAGCAGTGTATATATCAGTGAGTTCAAAAAAGTAAATGTAAAAAAAATCACGAAAAATTAAAGAATAAATTTTATTTTAACACGTCATAGAGTAATTTCATACTTTTACATGTAAACAAAACACGAATCAACAGGTATTAAATTTTGTATGACAGACTAGATACAATAAAAAATATATAACAATTCTCCAAATATAATACATAGGCATTCCAACCTCATTTAAGTGCCTAATTAAAAACATAATTTCGATGTTATAAAGAGCAGTTAGTGGTCCGTAACGTGATAAAATTAATAAAATTAACAATTTTTATGACAGACTTCAAATCTTTTTGAACATATTACGTAATAAAATATTTGATAATAGGCATTTCTCCTGAGCCTACGAGGTGGTGATTATGTACAAATTCAAATTCCATAGTAACTTAAACAATAGTAAAATATTAGGATAATATGTGATCTCTGATTAGTAGCGAAGTTATGAGTAATATAAAATAACAAATTAATAGTAAAAATCTTTAATTCAATATAAAGTTAATAACTTCAAATCTCAAACTGCACTGAAGGTGCCGCTCGAAGTAATGTGAATGTGAAGAACTAAAATGAAAATTAATAAAAATAATAATATTATGCTTTAATTTTTGAATTGAGTAAAATCCCTTCTTAAAATTAAAATGAGATGTGTTTTAAAAAACGAAATTATTGGGAAGAAAAAGAAAACATTGTATTCATAATATCGATAAATTTAGATGTTACATTTAAAGTAAACAATTCTATTTCGCACATTTCTTTATTTTCATTTAAATTCAGTGCAAATACTAACATTTATAAATTGTAATTAATATAGTAAATATGCAGTGAGAATTGACGGAAATATACATACATACGAGCTAAATTGTAGCAGAAGAATTTTCACGCCTAAAACGACTATCGTTCAAACTTATCGAAGAACAAAGACTAGAAAAATAGATATTGACCAATCTTGGTAAATTATTAAAACATTTTATTTAGTATCACCGTTTGTGTTTACAAATGCATCTTAAAGTAAAGAATTATGTGTTATTTCGAAGAGCAAATTTAAAGAATAAAAATTTATACGAAATTTATATGTTTTAAATAATTAATTTATGTAGAAAAATAGACAGCTTATTCCAGCCGAATGTAAAATAGGTGTAAAATTTGCTTAATTTAATCAGAAAGGTTATTTGTAGTTCTCCTTCATAAATTAATTACATAGAAACCAAGTGTTTACATCTGGGTTGTAGTAATAATTTGAAAAGTTTAATTCGAACTTTCTTCGAGTGTATTACATAGACGCATTGAATATTTAAAAATCATTTCTCACGAAAGTTCAGTTTTATTACTTGTTGACGTTTCTTAAGAAATTGTGTTCATTTACTATAGATTAAGGAATTTTAAGACATACGAGATAGAATTTCATCATTAAGATAGACAAGACCATTGATACAGAATTTGGTAAAATTGTCCATGACCCTGAACACTTTGGAATTGGATCAGGACACATTTTTGTCTCTGTGTTTGGATATCCAGGCATTCTCTGGCACATTGCTTGAAGTTGTTCTCCTGAAGCTCGAAATATGTATTCACTTGTAAAGTTGGCCGCCGCCTCACCACAATAGCGATTAACCACTTCGTTGGTACACTTCATGTAGCGAGCGACTGGACTGAAAGAATAAAAAAATTCCATCTAGAAAATATCTTAATAGAATATTTAAAAATTGTACAATGTGATGAACAGAAGCCTAAAAATATAAGGTGGTTATAACTAATTCAAATTATTATAATTATACTCAGTTTTATTGTAGTTCAAACGTAGTAGGCGAAATGATACCGGAATATGTACAGACAACTTTCTAAGGAATAACTTAGGGTGAAAAGCAAATATAAAATTGTTACCTTTGTCCTAAAACTAAAATTAAAAATATGATAAAAAAAGCCCTGGAAGAGAATACATTAAAATAAACTTCCACAGGAAATAATTTCATTACTTTACTTTCTAAAATTCTTCACTCACGTTATTCGAAAATGGTAAGTTGTCAAATTATAAAATTTTATAGCCTTAAATATCTTTTTTTTTTTTAAACATAATGCATTGATGAGTGTAATTCGTTAACATGTAACCCCCAAGAATGAACTTGATACGAAACCACACATGGAACTATTCAGATTTAGCTGAATAATATTTCTGTTTGTACACTGAAGTGCCCCTGAATTAAATATACCCGACTGTAACGAGCTGCTGCTTCTTTAACCTTCATAATGGCTGTCATATAACCAAATGTGGATTTTATAAGAGTACAGAAGTTTGTTTTGCAAGATGTCTTCTAGAATTTCCCATAGATGAATTAAATATTCTGATGGTACAGAACGTGCTTGCATTCCTTTTTTTTTATAAGACAAACGTATTCAATAGGATGTAAGATGGGGATTCTCGGTGGTCATTTCAGCAGATGAATTCAGTCGAATGATCTTGGAATCAGGTGGTACCCAGCTTACATCTGTGACAGGACTATTTAATTAATTTCCTGATACACTGCATTTACATAGGAACGGCAGAAAATCGTGAAATAATGTAAGTGATCTTTCAGCCGATCTACTCATTTAGAAACGGTGACAATATTCGTTATTAGTATATAAAATCCGAAAAATTAATTATAGAAAACATAGATCGAAAGGATCATCAGCGAGGGGTAAATTCCAGCCTGGCAAGGTGAATCCACAGCTACAAGAGCCTGGCGCGCTATACCTTTCGAATTCAAGACTCATCACTCCATAGTACTCGTTTCCAATCATCAGAGATTCAGTTACGACGTTCTGCGGCTCATGCAAGACGCTGAGCGAAATGGAAGAAATGGTACTCTGGTGGGCCTTCAGATAAAGTAAATCGGAGGAAACCCATAAGGCCCATATTAGCACGGCCCACATATTGACCAGTTAAGCGACATCAAATTCTCGTATGGCCATGCAACTTACTTTTTAATCCTTCAATAAACTTTCAATAATGGAGACGAGATAGATAAGCAGGTGCATGACGTCAGGTGTCCCCGTCCTGAATCACCAGTAAATTAACTGACCTCTCACTCTTCTAGGGTGTTCATCTGAGCTAACGTTTGGTGTGGCTGATTACATATTCCATAGCTAAATTTATGAAGGTCAAAATCATTCAAGACTACTTGTTCTTTGCAATTAGTTAGTTGAAGTTGCCGGATTTCTGATTCTTTTCTTGCTTCCCATATATTTTTTCTATACATTTGACACTGATAGAGAAATCCTTATTTTAAAACGAATGGAATGGAATTGCCCTTGCGTCATACATGCATGACTCGATCTCTATCTTAGACATTTAAATCACTAGTTTTACGCATCGTATTATTTGGCATAGAGACAGCTATATTTTCAATTATACACTGCGCTCCAAAAGTTAAGGAACAACATGTTTTTTGTGTCTAATATAAGAATCAAGAAACATCGAAACACGAAATTTAGCGGATATGTTCACTAAACAGTTCTTTAATGAATGTGACGTAGAATGCTTCTTAAGAGGAGTGCAAACATGAATTACAACAAAACAATTTCACTCTTGGCAGAGAAATCCAGTCTTGGAGAAACAGTATATCGCAGTTTTTCGAGGAAAAATGCGGTGATAACATTACAAAAATGGGTTCTAATAAGGAATGTATCTCCCCCTGGCTGAAACACATTAGCGGCAGCGACAGTCTACGCTATCAATTAAATTATCAGTCAGTGAAATGAGAAGCAACGACCAGACACGGACTCTGGACTCTGGTACAGAGCTGCCCGTTTATGTTGGGCAGCTCATCTAACATTTTAGAATCCTTGTTCAAGCTCATCTAACATTTTAGAGGAGGATTTAAAGCAGCAACATGTATCCCGAGGTAGTCCCAAAGATACTGTATTGGATCCAGGTCTGAGAATTGAGCTGGCCAATCCATCCGCTCCCTACCGTGACCCTCAAAATATTCTTCATCAACCCATGCTCGATGCGGTCGCGCAATTTTGTCCATCGGAAGAAATCCAAGACCAATAGCAGCGTCATAAATCAGCTGATGACCTAAATTACTCTCCCATGTGAACATGGACTCTTCTGTGAAGAGAACAGAAGCCCATTGTTGAGAGGTTTTGGAGACGTATTCTCCTGCCCAACATAAACGGGCAGCTCGGTATCCTTGGGACAAGGGGACACAAACAACTGGTCGTCTAACATGCAGGCCTGTGTTGTGCCGGCATCTGCGCACTGTACTAGTTGATATTCTTGCTCCTGTGACCAATAAGTGATCTGCCATGATCTCAGGCACAGTAATATCACTCCTCCTTCGGGCCGAAAGAGCTAAATAATGGTCTTCCGCAGGTGTTGTAACTCTTGGTCTGCCTGGAACATGTCTTCCAGACACAGAATCCTCGATTCCATAGTTGATTCCATAGTTGTTCGACTACACTGCGAGAGACATTGAGATATCAAGAAGCATCAGCTTGTGACATTCCCATTTCCAATCATCTGATCGCTCGCTACCTCAACAAATCGGGCGAACGACACGAACTCTTGGACATTGATAGAATATCCAGGATATTGTCAGCGAAACTGGCAATAAGAATTAAATATCAACACTCGTAAGCAAATCTTACAGTGTTTGCATTTTTCTCCAATTCTTACATAAGTATTCATTTCGATAAAATAAAAGTGCTAGCTATTGTTTTTACATATATTTTCTTAAATTTTGTTGCTATCATGCATATAAATTGCAAATTTAAATGTTACTGACATTTTTACTGACGCGAGGTTTGGAAAACAAGCTGCTCCTTAACTTTTTGAGGGAAGAGTATATATCACTTGCCAAGGTAATTTTTTATAGGCGCAGATATGAGGCAGCGGTGTCACGATATGTAGATAACTCTGTGTGCTCCTAGTTTCATATCATATACATATAACTGTAAAATCGTGCTCTCTTATTCAAATGCATTCTTTTCAGTATTATTACATTCCCGATAATGAGACAAAAATCAATCTATATAGTAATACTTTGCATGTACTTTGTTGTAAGAGAAATTTTAATTTTTTAATGACTCATTATATCTCTTCTAATTTCGCTATTTTCCTTTCTTATCTGTTAAAATCGCAACATAATTACAATCAATTTTTATGAGGTATGACATTCCAAAATTAATTCAACATATATTTCTTACGTAAACGAAAGTGATGCACATATTTACATAACAGCAATCATGAAGCGAAATCCTTTATACAAGAGTTTTCATAACAAAACGCTTAATAAGAAGTTCAAACGACATTAAGTACTTGTAGCTAGATAAAAAATAACTCTAACAATTTTAAACGTACTCTAATAAAAAAGTCTTCTTTTTTTTCTTTTCTCTCTATGTTTTTTTTGGGGGGACTGCATGAAAACATGCATAATTATGTCGCAAAATCTAAATGCAGGCTTTCTATTACTTCGCTCACTACGTCTTCTGTACTGCTACGATTTTATTGCCTTAATGCGAACTGCCATGATTTTATGGAATAGATTGCTCTGTTCTAAAACAAATTTTTAAAGCGGAAAATTGTCTTTGGAGTTCCTAAAAATCTGCTTCAAAATTAGTATCAAGCTTATATATATATATGCATTGTGCGTGCGATTTTTTGTGTGTAGGGAGTGGTTTGCAACAAGGGGCAAAATATTGAAGTTGACAAAATAATCAGCCCTTTTATAAAATTTGTAGCCGAAATTTCTACGTATTTATCCAAGAAGGGAAAAAGGCGAGAGTATGTTATTGGGATATATTTTTACAAGAGCTAAGATACTTTATTTTTCTACATAAGCATGAGTATCATTATATTTATATAACAATCGTGAGGTAAAATACCTTCCTTCAAAAAATTTAATTTTAAATATGTTACTATTTTTGGAGCACGAATTAAAGATAATAGAATGAAAAAGAAAATTTTATTTGTTGCAATCGAATTACAAAACAATATATATATTATATATATAAAGGTTTGAATTTTACCTTACAATTTGAGATTGCCTTGTTACAAACCACTCCCTACACACAAAAAATCGCACGCACAATGCATTTATATATATAAGCTTGATACTAATTTTGAAGCAGATTTTTAGGAACTCCAAAGACAATTTTCCGCTTTAAAAAATTGTTTTAGAACAGAGCAATCTATTCCATAAAATCATGGCAGTTCGCATTAAGGCAGTAAAATCGTAGCAGCACAGAAGACGTAGTGAGCGAAGTAATAGAAAGCCTGCCTTTAGATTTTGCGACATAATTATGCATGTTTTCATGTAGTCCCCCCCCAAAAAAAAACATATGTATGCTATCATATGAAAATATTATGATCACAAATTGAGCAAAAACGACATAAAATATAAAATTTACCAGCAAGCTAATATCTGTCTCTCGGGCAAGCTTTTGCTGGATTGCTCAAGAATTCTCAAAATTGGCAAGTCTGGTATCCGTGTCTCTTGAGCACAGCATTCCATCTCGGATTTGTGTTCAAGGATACATTCCGAATGTTCGAGGAAAGCTAACAGAAAATTAAACCATATAAATATAAAACTTCTTTCATAATATTTTGCAACGTTATAAAATTATGATGACGTAATAGCAAATAACAAAATGGAAATAAATTATTCGAGATTAATTAAGAAAATATAAACCACTGCTTGTACAAAGCAAGGCATTCACTGATAACTTTGCCTTCTCTCTCTCTCTTTTTTCTTTTTTTTCTTTTTTTCTTTTTTCTTTTTTCTTTTTTTTTTTTTTTGTTTTTTGTTTTTTTTTTGGGGGGGGGAAGCACCAGATGCTTTGCAACATCTGATACCAGATAAAGAGGAAAGTACTATTTTAAAGAATTGAGAATTAGCAGCCACATTATCAAAATCTGTACTTTCCAGTGCAAAAGATAATATACTGTATTAAGGAACATAACAATCAGTTTCTAAGCTGTAGCTGTGTGTCATTATTTTCTTCGTCGAATTAGAGTAATTGAAAGACTTCTATTTTCACCCTTTCCTTTTCACTTCATTGTACGAAGTAAGGCAAATATTGTAATCGCGAAAAATTTCGGATATTATATTTCAACGAAAATATCCATTTTGACCGCTCTTGAATCCATTTGAGCGATGTTTTTGTGTGATATATGTACGTAAGACATAATAAAGGACTTTTGTTTTTTCAAAAACGGATTGTGAAATGGATTCAGAAGAGATATTTTTTTGTGACATAAGTATGTATGTATCTTGCATAACATAAAATACGAGTAGCCTCAAAACGTTGAAATTTTGTACATGGGACTGCTATAACATTTAGGTGTGCACATGCTGTCGGTCGCACCCAAAGTATTATATATACATTTCGTAATTACAATAGAATTTTTTTAATCTAATATAATCATATTTAGTATTTTCACGTATTACGCTGCTGAAAAATATCAGTAAACGCAGGTTTTAAAAATTTAGGACCAATTTTACGAAGACGAAAAGTAGAAATTAATAAGTAATAAATTTCATAAAATCCAATAAATGCAAAAAATAATTTAATCAATGTTAAAACTAAGTACAAGTAACAAGTAATAGCTTATTTGGAAAAATTAAGGAAATTTAAAGAAAAGAACATAATAGAAGATTAATTCAATCAACTTCAATGCTACTTCGTCAGGAGAAGGAACACTGAAATCAATTGAAATTTCTCTTCCACAAAATATCCTTGCTTTGCTCTCTCTATATATATATATTTACTAAAGAAATATTGAAGATATTATCTCCTAATATAAAATTAGTAGAAGTATCTACCCATATGAAGTTTAATTTCGAAAATTGTGTTGTAAAGTAACTTGTATGTAAATTATGAAAAACACTTTTTACGGGGACTTGAATTTAAATCATGAATAACAAAATTTCAAACTTTGAAAAAGAAATTAAAAATTAAAAACAATTGCCGCTATTGATCGGGAATTAGTTTTTTCAAAGTTTGAAATTTTGTTACTCATGATTTAACTTCAAGTCCCCGTAAAAAGTTTTTTTTCATAATTTACATACAAGTTACTTTAAAACACAATTTTCGAAATTAAACTTCCTACATATGGGTTCCCTCTTTTTTGATACTTCTACTAAATTTATATTAGGAGATGATATAATCAATATTTCTTTAGTAAATAAATTATTATTATCTTACTTTGCAGCTATTGCGCAAGTATTAGAAAAACTGTTTTCGAACTAAGTGAATGTTACATCATTCAACATTATATATATATATATATATATATATATATATATATAACATTATATATATATAACGCATATATATATAAGTTACGTAACGTAACATATACTCTCTGTTACCCGGCTCGATGAGCTCAGTTTTTTATTCTTATACGTTGGTAAATTTGCAATTTTTTTTTTAAATGTCATTGAATTATGTTGATCTTATGTTCCGGTTAAGGATTTTTATACCTTTAGTTAATCTACATGCACTAGCTATAGAATTATTAACAATTTAAAAGTTGTTTCATTGCTGCTAAGTGTAAACGAACCCGCCATTTATTTAGGTTTGAAACTCTTTAGTAGAATAGTGAACTAAGTCAGTTGCTGCACCTTCAATGTCTTTTTGCCGAGTGGGACCAAAAGTAAAAGTAAAGTTTTGTCCACCGAAAAATCTGTCTTCCTGTCCGCTGGCCGAATTGCTTGTTTTTGTGTAGAAACTCTAATTTTAATTGCAAACATTTTTTTTAACTGTTTTAACTGTATTTGGTGTTTCATGTTTTTCTGTATAAGATACAATTTTCAATGAAGATGTTTTGAGTTTTTATGCATTTTTGCCTTGCCTCGAAGTGAGAACTGAATTAACTGAATGAGAAATATATCTCTAATAAAATTCGAGGAAATAAATTTAAATGAAAGGTAACAAAAAATGTGTATAATTTAATAGACCGTACAAGGAAGCCACGTGGTGTCCACATCAGATTTTTCTTATAAAGCGAAATGTTGTTGCTATGCTGACTCATTTGCAGAAGACTGGATGATGTTTTTCTCAACTAACCACATAAGTTGTAAGTTATTGCATCATGTGGGAAAAAATTATATGCAATGTTCTGAACATTCAAAAATCCAAATATGGAATAGCTATACACATTTCATAATTTAGTTGTTAAATTATAAATCTTATTAAGACATTGCTCAGATATAGCATTATGTTATCATCATAGACTTTTACTAAACAGTTATATGTAATGTTAATGTTGCATAATAGTTTTAATATGAACAATTAAAATTTAATTAATAACATTAGATTTCTCATGAGATATTAACTTTCTTAATCTTAAATCAATTATTGTTATAAAAATAATATAATTAAATGTTAATTAATCCCCAGTTGCTGGAAAACTCTCGACTTACTACAGTCTAATGAACAATAAAAAAAATGTAAGTAAAATAGCATCTTTAGTCTGTTTTTCACTGGTTAGCAGGTTCAAAAGTCACGACGAGATATTTTGGGCAAATTTGTTGTTTTCGATTTATATATATAGGGTGGCCCAGAAGTCACTTTACATTTTGAAAATTAAATAACTTTTTCTTAAATGACTGTATTTAATTAATTCTTTTTTATTTTTTGATTATTCACATGTCCATTCAAATGGAAATGAGCTTCATCTCCCATGATCAACTTGTGAATAAACTCATTGTCATTTCTTGCAGTTCTCTGAAACCTGACAGCATAATTTACTCATTTCTGAAAGTCTGCTGGTTTTAAAGATTGCACTAATTGAACCTTGAAAACGAGTCACTAAGTTCCTTATTGCAGGCCTACTAGGGGGATGTCGAACATTAAAATGGCGCATATAACGATCTTTGCGTTGCAACAATTGACCGTCCATTTTCAAAGTAAAATTCAATTATCTTCACTCGTTGTTCTGTTGTAAACTTATCCATGCCAAAAAATTTCCAGGGATTATATTTTTTAATTCTGAAAGAGAAAAAGAAATATATTAATAGAAAAAAAAGTTATTTAATTTTCAAAATGTAAAGTGACTTCTGGGCCACCCTATACTATGGGAAGAAATAAAAAAAAAAAAAATTAAAAGAATTAAAAAACGCAGGAAATGGACATCTGTGAATCTAATTCAAACATGTACAAAATAATTTATCAAACTATTGTTTTCGATGTGTTTATACAGCAAAATGCATCTCTTACAGATCAACCTTTTAAAAAAAGACAAAACGTAATAAAAAAAAAAAAAAAAAAAAAAAAAAAAAACTAAACATAACCCAAAAATAAATTCCTAATGAAATGAAAAACAGAAAATAATAAGAACATACAAATATTTAAGAACAAATTAAGAAGAGCATTATATACTTCTATTGAAATCTCTTCTGGGACAGCTATATTTTGAATGATAATACAAAAAACACAGAGTAAATAAGTACACAGTTTATGGCAATTTTAATTACCTGCAGTAAATTTTTGCTTCAACTAGTGTCTGTGCAAACTGTTCGTGACGTCTGAAAAACTAAAAGCAACAATGTACCAAAAGGTACAGAAGTAGTAGAAGGTACCAAAAAGTTTCGAGACTAGTTTTGTAACACGCCAACAGACAGCATCGCAAAGCTACGGGCATATGCACAGAGAGCACCGACCTTTACAAGTCAGTGTACCAAAAGACATTGTTCTGTGTACATCGGTAGTTCTGCAGCTGGTGCTAATCTTACAACTTGCTTTAACACGTCTGCGATTTTCATTATGCAGAGTGCATTAGAACAACGGGCGAACGTGAATTGGACAAGTCTGACACAGAGACACGTGACATATTTCAGCAAGCGTACGGCGAGGTTGCAGTGAGTCGTTCAAGGTATTTTGAGTAGCACGCGAGCTTGAAGATCGGAAGAACATCACTCGAAGATGACAAGATATCAGGACGACCTTCAACGATCACAACACCCGAAAATGTCGAAACCATTCTGCAGCTTATACATAAGGATCATAGGCGAATAATCCACAACATTGCTGCCATTGTCTGTACGTCATACAGAACAGAGCAGGCAATCCTCACTTGTGATTTGAATATGCATCGTATTGCTGCTAAATTCGTTCCCAGGCTCCTTACACAGGAGCAGAAAGAACGCCGCGGGGAAGTCTGCTAAGAACTTCGATACTTTGATACTTTGTTGGCTATTCTGGCATGCAGCGTAGATGAACTACTCCTGCTCTTTCCACATTCCTGAATGAGTCCCCTTAGGGTCCTGACGTATGTAAAAGTCCAAAGATGAAGGTTCTGCAGTTGAGATAGCCTTGCAAAAGGAAAAGAGACGTGAAGCCCTGAGCTTCGGTGATCAGCAAGCCATGTCTCTGGCAACTGCAGGACAGGGAGGTGGGGAAAGCTGGCCGGAAACACAAAGAGGTTTGTCGAATCCGAAAACGTTGTGAGCTTGCGAACTACTATACAATACGAAAAATAATAGACGTATGCAGAAATATTAGAGATATGAACAATATAAAATAACATCTGTTCTGACCAAACAGCTATTAATT